GGCGGCAGGCCGTCCCATCAGCCAGGCAGGCGCGTCCTGGGGCCGTCTCCGTCCGCGACAGGGGCGGTTGCAGGCCGGGCCGGGCTGCCCGTGGGCGCGCTCTGCTCCGGGTGGCGCCGAAAGAGCTTTGGACGGACACGATATTCCCGATGGCTGTCGGGCGTCTCGCTCAGCGGGAGTGATCGTGTCATTCCAAAGCAATCTCTCTCCAGAGGGCTGTCCCTCACCGGCTCCAGGGTCCGTCCCGGGCGGCCGGGGCCCTTCCCAGACAGGCAGCTGCCCCAGCGTCTGTGGGCGCGCTCTGCTCCGGGTGGCGCCGAAAGAGCTTTGGACGGACACGATATTCCCGATGGCTGTCGGGCGTCTCGCTCAGCGGGAGTGATCGTGTCATTCCAAAGCAATCTCTCTCCAGAGGGCTGTCCCTCACCGGCTCCAGGGTCCGTCCCGGGCGGCCGGGGCCCTTCCCAGACAGGCAGCTGCCCCAGCGTCTGTCCCCCACCCCGTGCCGCGCTTGGAGCTGCAGGAAGCACGAGTGCATCGCGTGATCCCGCCACACGCTCCAGTCTGCTGCAGGTGGCCACATCCCCACTGTGGCTGGGGGGGGGGTGTGGCGGTTTCTCCCCAGGAAGCCAGGGTCTATCTTTAGCTCGCAGGAGCATGAGGCTGGTGAAGAGCCCGGGCTCAGCCAGCCCCCCTCTCCTCCTGGGGGCTCCTGCGGGGTGGGGGCTGGCCGGCATCCGGGCCCCGGCGAGGTGGCCCTGGGCAGGGGAGCGCGGGCGGGAGAGCAGGGAACGAAATCCAAGCGCAGCTGAGGTGCCGAGCGGAAGACAGCTGCTTTTGGGATTCCGTTGCCCGCTGTCGCGCGTCGGGGCGCCTGGACGCCGGGGTGGAGCGGGCGAGTCCGTTCTCAGCGTGCGCGGGGCAGGCAGACAGGCAGAGCGAGGACACGGGGGGACGAGGACGATGACTTACCAGAGCTGTCCCCACAGCACCCTGGGTAGGGGGGAGCTGGGGTCAGGGCTGCTCGGCCCCTGCAGCCGGGCTCCAGCCCTGTCCCCCGGGGCAGAGGGACGGGCCCGTGCGGAGCTGGTGCCAGGGGCACTGCCCTGCCCTGCAACAAAGCCTGGCACGGGGCCAGCCTGGGAGCAGCGCACCTGGTGCTGGGGCTGTGCCAGAAACCTGAGACCCGGCCCCACCCCCGGGCTCCGCCGCTCTGCACCCCCGGGTGCG